TGAAACAGCGCCACCATGTGGAAGAACGAGAAAGTAGTTCGAAACAACAGTAAAAGTCAGGACCTAACTATATCATTGCCACTTCGTATCATTTTCTCTTTGACACTGAAGAGAGAAGTTGGCTAAAAGTCTCTTATTTATTCTGAGTAGACACCTATCTTCGGGCAAAGTAAATTACAGGCGTCGGGCTTTTCTGTTTTGGCTGTCCTTTCTTCTTTCATCTACTATTCCTCTTTGGATACAATAAAAGTTTATTGGAGAGACGTGAAGTTAATTTTGCATGAACGAGATAAAATAATTATTTTCTACGACCTCCAGAAATACACAAAGCACGAAAGTGATTTGTATATAAGAAAATAACTGAATGATAACACTAATACACGTAACTCGTGTGTATTATATATTGTATCGAATACCTATGCTTTAGTTGTAAATTTGGCTTAACTGTAACACTAATCAATTGATATTTTATCAGTTTCCCATTAAACTCTGCATATACATTAAACGCAAAGTGGCTGTAGACATTTCATGGAGGCATGGCATTAAACCCTTTGATAAGTTGGTTTAGTCCAATCTTCAGTAACAGGCCCCTTTCTGCACAATAGACTTTAATATAATTATCTCGTGTACTCCTGGGTCTTTCGAAATATCCTATTAAAGTTTTTACGCATTTCTTACTTCTCACTTGTGTGTCTATAGGTTGTGAAGCTCCGAATTTTGTAATTTTTTCCATCTTGCAGGAAGCTTTTCTTGGTTTGTCCCAGTACTCACTCCTTCCATGGTGCTGAAGGTACATCTATAATCATGTTTATGTGTGTTGAGATCATCTTGAATTTCTGTCCTTAGCTCCGTAACCACTTAGAATCGGACACATGTTCATATCATATTTCTGACTAATAATTATGTGAGGAATAGAATCTTGAATTCGCCGGACACTTTATAGCCCGAATTTGTGACTGCGTTATTCACCGTTAAGTTACATCACTACGAAAGTAATATATTTGATTTATTAATATATATATATATATATATATATATATAGTTATTTGTTGTTGTTCTGTGCAGAATATCGACGCCGACTACAATTATGTCTGTCAAGTTGAATGTAAGAGTGCACCACGGAGAATTCGAAAATGTGAATTTATTCACGGTTATTATTTGTGTCTTACGTCTTGTAAACGACTTTATGTTTCTGTTCCGTGTCGCATAAGACATGTAATTTGGTCGTATCATGAGAGTGTGGCGTTATGTTCATACGTGACACTTCTCATCTAATTAATAGTCACATTATTGTTCACGTAATTAGTGTAAAACACGGTTCAAGAAAATGTAAACCAATCATATTTTAATTCGTATCTGTCATACGAATTTTTTTGTTGTTGTTGTTAAAACTTGTGTTTACTACGGTTAGCCTTTTTCTCTGTTTAATACAAAATCAGAGTTTTATTTCCAAAGACCGTGTTGGATCATAATTTTTTTATTTTCTTATTTGCCGATCTCTTTCAGCCTTTTCATTGGGTTCTATGACATCTTGTCAAATTCATCATTTTCACCCTTCATTTTTTTATTTTTTGGTAATCCTTTCGTCCATCACATAGACGGCAGTTGTCACGTTCTGTCGCCATTTTATGTCCATCTCCCATTCTGTCTTCCTCTCTATCGTATTTTTATTCACTTATTTTGGCTTTTTTTCTTTCCGTCGGCTATTCTGCTACATCCCTATTTCTATGTTACCTATTCACATGTCTCTGTCTTCTTTTCCTGTACTCTCATTTACATTTTGAAGGAAAAGTTTCATTTTTACAACTTTCTTTCCTCTTTCGCGGATTTATCCATTTCATTTCTCTCTCTCATGATCTCCCCATCTATATATTCGTCTTTTCTCTCTCTTTTTCCTATTTGCGTCCATCTTTTACGACCAGTGGCTGGGAGTGAATTACACCGAAATATAATTTACGTAGGTTTGGTGCTCTGCGTGTAGTAGCCAGATACTTCAGCGTAATCGGCGCCGAAAACTCACTATGGCTGGCCCTTACAAAGGTCCCTGAGATAAATTACGATGTTTAATTGGTGCGTCTTGAAACTTTTGACCTAATTTTCTGACTTTGAGGTAAAAACTTGCTTTAAGAGATAACCATGCACTCTGTGTGAAAGTGTGTCCCTTTCAAAGTTTTAGTCCATTCACCGATTTTCACGAAACGTGATATGAGTCTTCATGTACTGCACATAATTCATATAAAAAATTAAGTAGAAGAGTATATGGAAAGCATCAGGCCAAAGTGAGATAATTAAAATAAATATTAAAGTTAAACCGGTTTTCGAGTGCTTGAAATTTCAAAATTCTCTTCTCCCATTTCTTCCTGATAACGGAAACAGAATCCGGCTACCGAAATGTAGCTTTGTAAATTTTATAATTTAGACGATGGTCGAAGTCCAAAATAACGGTTTTTGAAAAACAAGATAAGAGATATTCTAGGATTAATATCGTAGATTAAGTCGTTTTCTATAATAAAGTGACCAAAACTTATCTATAGTTTTCCATACGTGCCGTTCAAATCGGTCGACATTTGGAAAGCTGAGGGATTTAGTCCTTTTTGTATTTTAGATTTTAATCCTTTCCATGTATTAATATAGGCCCTACATGCTACCTATCTAAAAATTGGAAGTATTCACTGAGCTTCTTGTGACTACTGTATGTAACACGGGGCAAGCTAAATTATGCAACTGTAGGGAATGATTAGATCGTCTCATAAGAAGCTAGTGCTCTTTGATCGTATAATTTATTGCCAGAATTCTTCTTCCGCTTATGTGCGCATCACTTTTTATGTATACATGATACTGATTTAATTGGTTACTTTCCTTTAAACTATACACTGGGGTCTCTTCATGCTTTTTAACAAATTGAAAGAGTTTCAAAGAATTTCACGTGTCATTTTATATCCAGATTTAAATTCTGCATGGCTCTATTTCTTTATCCGCCGCCTCCTTTCTATTTCAATTTACATTATATTTCAGGTTACTTTTTATTTTCTTTCATATTCTCTTTCCTTTTAAGTTCCATTATGTATATACGATCTGGGTATATACCGCCTGGAGGCTTGTAACATGTGACAGCTTAAGTGAATTTGGGATTACTCTTGCTGTAACATTGAACCTAGATTGAACAAAAGAAAGCGGTGAGGGGGGTGAAATAAAAGCAAAGGGCGACTTATTGGGGATGAGTGAGGGGTGAGAACGGGTTACTCCAAGGAACTGATTTTATATATATAGGCCTAGGATGGCTATCGCGTGCGAGAGGTTAAGAACGTGTTAAGTGTAGCGTGAAGGCTAAGACACGTGTCTAATTTTCACGGAAAGTCTGTATTAAAGATTTTGATTTCTTACGTTTACCTAAGATCTGAACAAAACTGTATTGTATACAGAATAAAATGACTTGGATATGAAGATAAAGTTTACCTGTGGTAATGAGGACAATATTTTACTTTGCAGGTTAAAATGCAGTGTAATAGCTCGTGATAAGACAAGTTGAATGTTCTAATTTAAAATATCAAGTTCGTTGGCGAAGGTCCAATAGATTTTTTAAGTAAAATTGCATTTTACAGGTAATAAGAATAAGAAACTGAGAGGTATTTTTAATATAAATACGCTGTATTTACTAAATGGAGGATAGTTATTTTTGAGAAGGTGATAATCTTTCTGCTAGTCAGAATATTCAGCTACCTTAATGCAAATCGAAAAAGGTAGTCGTTGAATTCTATTTTAGAAGTCATATAAACCAGGTCAGATCTCCACACCCAGATTACTTAATATACACTTTAATCTTAAAACTTTACCTACCGTGTAGTGCATTGGAATATGAAAATAAGCATACAAACAAAACAGTTTTGTTTGTATGCTTATTTTTATACACTTTAATATTATTCTACCAACTACGCCTTGGCCTCAAAGTTGTTTCGTACCACCGGAATTTTCTATTAATATTTTGTATGCGTTTCTTATTTATCCTATGCTCCAACGTATGATACTAAACATTTTGTACCTGACGAGATTTAGAGGTTCTTCCAGTCTGTTATATATATATATATATATAATTTACGAATTATAAGTAAAGCCTTTGTTATTAAACCGGTAATTAAATTACATTTAAAGTAATTTAAATCTTTGTTGTAATTGTATGTAGCGCCCACTTTAGTAGTTTTTGGTGACAGAGTAGATTTATGAGTTTCTTATAATTCTCAGAATATGGCCCTAAATGCATTAACCAACTAATGTTTGTAATGGAGGAGGTTTTTGTTTTCTTTGAGGTAAGAACTAGATTTTAGCTATTATGTAGATGGACTCTGTGATTGAAAAAGGTTACAGGTCCTTCTTTTCAGCTCCGTTTGCAGCTGATGTTTTCCTTAGTTTGTCATTGAGATTGTAGTTTTGCTTAAAATAGACCACGACCGCCACATTCTGTCCCTCAGATTTTAACAGTGGTCACCTCGCTGACTTCCCGTTGCTTCTAAGGTTATTTCTGTAACTCCTGCAGCAATACGTTAGGCCAAATTCATCCGCTGACCAACTCAGGCACTCTCTTATACTCCTAACTTTCACACAGAGATTCTCAATTTTCGAGCTGATTTTCTGATGTCACATCGTTAAAATTTCCTGAGTTCCCTCATACCATTAAGCGACGTTCTGTTTCTCGAAAGGGTGTGGTCCCAGGGTAGCAGAAACCTTTAGTCCATTACGAAATTCCAATTACAGTTCTTATATAATGACATAACTGTCACATTTACTTTAAAAGGACGTCGACATTCAGCTTTATGGATGTGTTTAAGTATAAAACACTTCATGTTACGGTTAGTGACGTATAAACCAAACAGAAGTAGCAGCGTTTCTGTTAAATTTGTTATTATTTACACTTGAATTTCAAATAGAAATTCCACTTCTGTATAGTAAAATATGACGTTGGAGATGGTGTTTTGGAACACCTCATTTCCACGTCTTCTTCACTACACATTAGCTCATCCATCACGCCGACCGACATCGACAGCTTCAGCTATGACACTGCTAAAAAATAAAATAAAATCTACCCTCATATATGGAGGATGTGGTGTGTTTCATACCCACAGAAACCTGTCTTATAAAATGCATAACAACTATACAGAATCATAGTGAGACCATATGGAGAATTTCCACACTTGCGAACTTTCAAATAACGTGATGCTTGTCCGAACATAGCAGTTACGAATGGATCCAGCTGACACAAAATTATATAAAAAATAATTCTGTATGTAGATTATTTGATTCTACTGGTTGAAGCAGAGGATGAACTACAAAATATGGCATGGGCGAATAAGCATGTAGACCTACGTAAGAAATAAGGATCTCTGTCATTATAATGAAATAAAAGGAATGATCGATGATAATATCCAAAGGGTAGGTGTTACGTCAGATGATAAAACTGCAAAACAAGTATCAAAATTTGTATTCAGTTAATGAATGGATATGGATATAAAATTAATATTTTACACAATAAATACTATTGAAGAGAATTTCTGAAAATGATAATACACAAATATATAAATTCACATCTTCCAAAATGCGTGTTTCATAGAAGTAAATCGTCCCTCTCTTTTCTTTCGTAATTTTATCTTTCTTCAAGAGTATAAACCTGTAATCGCCTTCTCCTCTAAAAACTCACATTTGAAATGATTCCTTTTTATCGGTTTTGTAATATTCCTATGTTCGTTATAAAACATGGTCTTGATTCTTAACTGTGTAAACCTCTCGACTTAGCAGAGCTTATTCGAGCAGATTTTTGTGTGTGAGTGTGTGTTATATGTACATTCTCTTAATACAAAGCTTACATTTTACACCCGTTTCTCTCTCGTTTATAATGCAAGGTACCTCCAGGATAACAAAATAACACGTTTCCTTCCTTACATTCTTTTTCATAAATAATTTTAAGCCCGTGGTTGCCATGTATGAGATTGATGCAAGCCATTCAAAATTCCTTCTGCCGAATGTGCCTGTTAAGCGTACACTGTTTACTTTTAAAATCTGTTAGTCAGGTAGCTGTTTTGTTGCTTGGCAACTGTTTAATTCATAAAGTAAATTATCATGAAACACCACAATGTCATACGTAATACAAATTGTAAAAATTAAAAATAATCAAAAAGATTGTCTTAATATCCATTTTCATTATTTTAGTTATTTTGTGACTAGTTTCGTAATACTTGGTGCCGCTAATACATATATGTTTTCTGTTTTAGCTAAATTTATACTCAGCAAACTTGAATAACTGTGACATCATGATGAATAACATTTTCACGTTAATATGACACGATTTGAGCCAGCGTGGGCTTTGAACTTATCAGCCTGTAGGTCCTTAAGGCAAATGGGACACGACCAATGGAAAGCAGTTCTTTCTCTTCTATAAACGGCGACATTTTTGGCAATTCTCAGTCCAGCCACGTGTGGGCACCACTTTTCATTCTGCCTCATTCATAATTTTTTTATCTTATTTTTTTCTCTTTTGTCTTTTTTTTGTGGTCTCTGGTGGAACATGAGCGTCGATGGTCCTCAAAATCGGCAGTGTCTTTATTTTATCTCTCTCTTGACGGTACTCTACTCCCACACACTCTCCTTTTATGTTTGTTCTATCTGTAGTAGACCAATACTCCTTTCAATATATTTCTGACCTGTCTTTGCATCTTTAATTCTAATTTGAACTAAAATTACAAATCTTAACGAATGAAACCAATGTCTTGTAATGGTTTTTAATTTTAGCTTCCTTCGTGAAGTATTAATTACCTGATATGTGATAAACAGGGGTTCGTGTTAACTGTGTTAGCCCTTCTAACAATTTTGAAAGCACATTTTCTTTGGTTATTTTATTGATACTTCATACACTGGAAACGGCATAACCGGTTAGATAAAACACATCACTAGTTACGTTTCTCCGAAACAGTGGCATCTGCCGATCTTTGTACTCGGGGTCAAAACGCAGAAGGACGCCATTTGTGCAGACAATCTGTCGGAACTTTTGATCCTTAATGCCTCATTTCCTTAATAGACACTATATTCAAGGTTTATAACGATAAATAAACGCACACGGAACTTTCATGCGTGAGTTCAGCTTATAACCAAATAAATAAACGAGGGAAACTATGTTCTACAGTGCAGAATTGAACTACAAGTTTTTCGACAAAAGGGAACATTATAAAATTCAGCAGTAAATAGTTACCATTTATATTTCGATGTTATGCCCATGTAAATATTATTTTATATTTTCGATTACACCGTGTGATGGTAAGTTTGGAGCTGAGAGTCCTTAAAAATGTAGTAGTTGAAACTCATGTAGCCGATGAGCGATTGCTGGCTATGAGATTTGGCCACTAGAGGCGCCACACGTCTTCCTTCCGTCCACCATTTTTACTAAAACAAGCTTCCCGCCCCTGCCTCTCAGTATAGAAGAATGAAAATAAAAATGAGCGACGTAGTTTGGTCATGTTGTAGCACCAGAGAAGAGGTTTGCAGTGGGGTTTAGTAGTGTCTTCTCTCGTAACCAAGGGAGTTTTGGGGGTCATGAACACATAAAAGTTTTTCCTGTCTTCCCACTCCACATTTCTACTCTGGTGCAGCACAAAATAAAATTTAGTACTGTGCCTATAACATTCTATCTTAGCTCACCAGGACTTCGATGTGCCTTAAGAAAAACTTCAGCCCTTCTCTTTCCACATGAAGTACACCTTTCTTTCAAAGCCCGGAAAAAACTTTCCTCCATCATTCCCCAGAGTCCTTAAACTTTTCTTCTCTTCTCTGTTTCGATATCATCATCAGCAGCAACACTTTCTTTGCTGCTTGTTTGATTTGTGGTCCGTGCCGTAGCGCAGGGTAACAGTGATGGCTTAAGCAAATTAGAATTTACGTACTACATTCTTATTGTTATTCCCAATTATCTGGGTTGGTCGGCCAATATATTTCCCCGGAAAATCGAAATCCCGAATAATCCTTCAAAAATAAAAGAAAAACACATAACAAATACTTAAGTTTATTTACAGACATACACCACTTGAATTTTTAAATATCTGTTATTAACAGAAAGGATGTTATTATATATATAATTTAATACACTACGTGTCATTTATTAAGAAAAACTGATTTTATGGAATTTTAATAACGTTCTGTTGTTGTAAACTTCAGGTTTTAGCAACAACTGATTTATGTTAATATGTTACATCACATATCGTTGTATTTGTTCTTTTATTTTGGAGGTGATAACGTCTACATTTTCTAAATTAATTTCTTTAAATTTTTGTTTAAACCAGATAGACACCAGTTAATCCGACCCCAGATCGTTGGGAATTTACTTTATTTGCCATTTAAAAGACAACATACATAATGCACTGTAGTAATAGTTTATTCCTGTATTTTAAGATTCGTTTTCCCTTCTTTCTCCTATTTTTATGTTTTTTTTAAAAAACTTTCTGACATTTGGCTGAGATAAGCGTAGGATTCGATATCAGAAATATAAATTTTCCGTCTGTGGTTAGTTGTGGGAGAGAGAGGAGCTATGCATGGCAAGGATAATGTATATTTTTGTTTTTGTAAACAACGGATAAGTCAGAAGTAGTTTTCAAGAAATTTATCTCTGTTTTCTTTCATTCTTGCTGTTTCACTGAGGCTAGACGGTCATCTAATACATCAGCTGGTGACTGTGAACTTAAGAAAGTTTCTGTGGTCTGAGGGTTTCACGGCAGATGTCACTTGTCTTCTGCGTCGTGACGCCATTTAGTCTCGTAAAACCGAACGACGCCTCCGTGTGATTAGCATTTTTGTTTCGTATCGGGAGGTCCCGGGTTCAAATCTCGGCCCGGAGACAGGCTATACTTATACAGGTTTGTCATGATTTTCCTTAGTCTCTCCAGCCAAATGCCGGGGTAGTAGGACCGTACCACTTCTTTACATATCCTTCCAAATTCATTATTCATAAATCATTCTATTATTATACGCAAAATAGTCTGAGATAATGGCATCGTCGTTAAATAGTCTTTCAGGTAATTAGCAACGTTTCAGAGGAACATATCGCCTCCATTGTTGGAGCTGGATATCAGTCCTGAAGATGGAGGCAGTAGGTTTCTCCTAAATGTTGATAACCACCATTAAGTCTACACGGAGTCATAATATAAAACACACTAGTCGACATGTGAGTTTTTCCACGATGTCGGTAACAGAATGTTTCAGTGGACTGAAGAAGCCAGACGTCCTCATTCACCCTCTTCTTTCTTCTCAGTGATTACATTTTCTTGTTTTAGTCTGTACTTACAGTTTTATATTAATTTCTACCTGACGAGGTTCTCTGCTGAGTTTAATTATTTCCGTGCGAGATTCAATGGGCATCAAATGCTCCAGCGGGCTGACTTAGAGAACAGACTTCCTGCTGGCGCTCGGCTATACAGGAGATGTATTACCCTTGCTGAAAACATTTCATTACACTGTCTTCATAGAAAAAACATTGCTTGGTGTACACATTAATTTGTTTACTGGACTAAATCGTTTGCTTGATGTTAATAAATATGAGATATGCATGTAGCATGCATATGAGCGACGAGAAATGTTGGCCTATATAAAATATTAATCTGATACCTGAAGAGAATATAAATTCAGGTAATGCAGGTAGACATTTATATTGATTATATTAATATTTATGTGTGTCTGAAGGTCACATTTGTTTCTGAGCGATCGTCTTTATTAAAGAGAAGGTACCAGAATAAAGCCGATAATCCATTTACTGTACTGAGTGAACAACTCCTTTAATATAGACTTCCCTGCACCGTATAGCTTATGCCATTGCGTTAAAAGACTTCATTAATCTTTCCCGTGTTGCTATAAATTTGAAAAGATTGTCTTGGATTTCACATAAAACCTTACAAGCAAGGAGATTTTTACACACACGTTTCATTTATTTTCTGCCCATAACATTACATCATGGATTTCGCAAGAGAAAGGAATGTGAAGACAAATTTATTTTAAATTCAGACAAATCTGTTTGAAGCCATCCAAATCTTGCTGTACAGTGCAAATTCGTTGCAGTAACTATGATCAATGGACCACTTATCATTCAGCATCTTATAATCATTCCTGAGCGAGTTTAATTCATTCCACAGCTCCACACCTTGTTAATTTAAGGCATTTTTTTAATTCTTAAAGCTCCATTTTAACATAATCCAGTGTACTTTACACCTTATTAATTTGATACATTTTAGAGCTTAGTTTTAACATAATCCAGTCCACAGCCTAACACCCTATTAATTTAAGATACATTTTAATTCCTTAAGCTCCATTTTATCATAATCCTCACATATACTCTAGCCTCTTCCCAAGTTGTCTCTTGGCTTCTGGTTTATAGGCTTGCCCCGTACGTACTTTGTGGATTTATACAGGTCACATTCTGTTGTTGTTGATAGTTGAATAAGGAGGCTATGAGTGAATTCATGTAGAATTTTGGTAAGGAAATCTGAGATGTAGGATGGTGGATGACATTATGATATGGATTGCAGGATCGTTTTAATTTGTGGTCCTGGTGTTAGTGCTGCTGAAACTCTGGGTCTACTACCATTAAGTTAATTAATTAGTTATCTAAAGGAATGTTAAAACGAATACTTTGGCAAAACGTTACGATTTACCTAACAGTCCAAACGACGTCACAACCCAGAAAACCGAATTTGGCATCTTCATCTCTCAAATAATTTAACTTGCATTTATATTTAGATAAGTCTTTTTTATCAAGATTCTACCCACAATGTTGATTTTCTAATCATAATTCCTTTGTAGGTGACAGTTACACTGAAACACATACCAAACAGCTGACAGAATCAAAAGAAAACTTGCTGCAGTGTGGCCAGCTGCTGCACACGAAAGTACCAAAATGAAAATAACGTCTGGAAACTGTCTCATTAAAGCGACGTTTGCACCGCTCGGTGTATGACGTCGTGTCGCTTGTCTCGGGAGATGAACGTCTGTTTGGGGC